GTTAGGTTAGGTTGAGTTAGGTTAGGTTGAGTTAGGTTAGGTTGGGTTAGGTTAGGTTAGGTTAAGGTTAGGTTGGGTTGGGTTATGCTGCCTCCCATGACTCCACTTAAAACCTCTTTATTATTATCCTCCTCCGAACTACGTTTTGATTTTCTAGCTCGTCTCCAACTTTCAAGATTTTCAACTAAATTTTGTATTTATTTGTCATCTGTGCCGTACGTGCAGCTTGCCTCGTACATTTCATGCCCATTTACATGATTGTTTTAATATAATTTGGCTAAGAGTAGAAGTTACGAAGCTCCTCATTATGACTTTGTCTCCATTCTCTTGCTGTTTCATTTCGCTTCGCTAATTACACCAGAAGTGGAACAAACAAATAATATCAGCATTTTGTCCTCAGGCACCACACAGTTGTTATAATCATGTATAGTAAGGGGGCGGGTTTATTATTACGCTCTTGAAGTCACATTCCTGTAGCATGTTATGCAAAATGCGCGTGTTGTTTATTAAACTGGCCGAGTCCTCACAATGGCGCTTTGAAATTCTGACACAGCTGAGATCGGCTGTAAACTTCGCTCTCCGCGCCATTCCTGAATAAGTTCGCATGTTCAACATTTTTTAATCTCCTTTCTACAAACACAATGATATGCTGGCGTGGACACGAGGTCGGAAAATGTAACTAAATTATTCATTAACGGGAAAATGTTTTTCAGCTTCGCAGGTATGAAACGAACGGAGTGGACTTTTTAATATAACAACGTCAGCTGCTCCGAGTCTCTTTACAACGGCATTTCTCTGAATATGAAACTGCGTACAGCAGGACCCCACATGAAAAGCTAGTATTTCGTCAGAGAATTACCCCAGTTTTTATGGAACCTAAAAGTTCATAACCGTGCTCACAAGAACCCACTGACGGTTATTAACCGATCCACACATCTGTATTGTCGCGTACCTGCGTGCATTGATTTCGAGCGTGTATTCGGACCTGATGATGCCCTGTGTGCATTGACTTCGAGCGTGTATTCGGACCTGATGATGGCCAGACTGTGCCGAAACATGTAGTTCAGAAGAATAAACTGTGAACTGTAAGCGTGTGTGTGGAAGTGACTGACATCGATCATCAAGAATTTAGAATTTAGGACACTTTAATATGTTTCAGTATTATCCTACCATCTGCTGTTAGGTTTACCAACTTGTCTTTTGGTACTTCGTCCCCTCCAACACTTCTCATGACCAGAAACAAAGTACCTGGAGTAGGGCACAATTTTACGGAACTGTTATTTTGTAACTGTTATCGACATGGAACAGGAACGGACTAGAACTTCTACCTGGAACGAGTTACTGTCTGTTCCGTTCTCGTTCACAGCTGTCGTCGTGAATTTCCCTGTACCTCTTATTAAGCACCAGAAGAAAAGAATAAGCGTGATTTCAAAAATCGAGGACGCCTGAACTGTAAATCAACGTATAATCGTCCTAATTTTCATACTGGAGTGCGTATCGAAACGTCGCCATTGTATAGGATTTGAGATTTTCACGGAGGTGAGTCTAAAAATGGCTGTCTTCTGGGCTGTTGTGCCATATATTTTTGCGGAAGTTTACAGACGTTTCAGAGTTCCTTGCTCCCTCCGCAATCACGGACAAAAACTATCTCCGAAACGTCGAGATAAACTCGTACCAGACACGGCGCAACAACCCAGAAGACAGCCATTATACCGTTCGTTAAAGTCGTAAGAGAGGGCTGCTACTGAACGACGCATTTCGACAAATATTTACAGAATCACGGACCATTGAAGGCGATAACTTGGTTCAAGGCCCGAGTCAATGGCGGACGCTGTTGTCAGAACTCCGGTTGGTTAGGGCTTCAATTAGCGATGGATATTGATCCGTAGAATTACTTCGTGCCTGAATGAAGTGTCTATTAAGGGTAGTACTATTTCCTGACAGTGAACTCGTTAGACCTGTACTGTAGAGCGAGGAGGTCAGAGATCAAAGTCAAATTGCATTTGCCTTGTGTTATATCACTCCACGCCATTTGCATGCCGGAACTTTGATTCTGGATATCACGAAGAATGACAAATTAAAGGTTCCTGCCTTTGAAGAAGCGACGACCGCATCCTTTCACATCCTTGCCAATCATACGTTCTTGTTCTACAGTGGCCTTCCTTGGTGCAACAGTTGCCTGTGTCATGTGGAATGAGAGAACTCGATGTGCCCTAAAGCTCGCACCTTTCGAATCTTATTTAACGTAGAAGGTGACAGGTAGTCAGCCCGCAATGCAGTCAGTGCCCACTGTGGACTGAAAATCGTGTGTGCGCACACGAGTTTAATTGTAATTTTATATTTTTATACTTCGGTAATTTGTGCATTTATAGTTGAACTATTTAATGTGTTTATAGAGCAGGATGTGTTCCATTACTAATTACTTCTGCATGGGTGCTCCAGACCGATTACCTAACACTACTGGAGGCAATCCGAATTTACATATTCTCTAAAAAAAATAATTTAAATTTGCGTAATGTAGCCACGGGCTTTATGCTAGTGTTCTAAAATTTATAATTATAACTTAACATAAATTTGTACATAAGTTTCTCTCCCACACTAAATAAAGAATATATCTGAATAGATTTTTAACTGAATTTTCGTGTTGTAATGTCATGATTATTCACGAGTCGATGTCTCTTCCGGTTGGTAAATTTCATCATCGAGCAACGTTATTTTACACACACACACGCGCGCGCGTACGCACGCACGTTCGCAAGCGCACACACACACACACACGCGCGTACGCACGCACGTTCGCAAGCGGAGGTGGAATAAATGAGACTACAGCTAACCCCTGCCCTAGTATCCACGCTGCAGTAATACAAAGGAGGGTGGACCTATTACTTTCATTTTATTTTTTTCTTCTGAAGACTTGAATACACTACGACAAAGCCATTTCCATATTTCTTTCAGTGTAAAAAGTGAGCAAATTCCTGCCCGAAAGTCAGAAATGTGAAAGGGGTTTCTCTCCTGTAAGGAAGGAATAAAACAGGGGTAACGGAGGGAATGTTTTAATTTGGCCTTCCCAAAAATCCCCTTCTCTTCTCTTCTGCTGAGATGAAACAGATGGCCTCCACCAGGCATACAAATTCCTGCAAATGAGCTCCCATTTTTCATTAAAAACCTGTATAAGTGCACTCACTTCTACTGATGCAGTCAGTCAGGGAAGAAAATTCTGAGACCTTAAAGACGGAGGCGAGAAATAATCAAACTTCCTAAAAGCAAACTTAATTAAAAAGTAAAGTGTACTTTTAATTTTAGTTAAGGGGGACAAAGTAGTTATTAGCTTCAATATAAGTGTGTAAAGATGACGCGCTGGGTAAATAAAGTCTAAATACGCTCTTCACCGCCTGTCTGTAGCTTAGTAAATGAAAATAATTGGTTTAACTTACATATTTACTTAATCTGGCTGTTGATTCTGAAAATAACATTTACGGTTATCGTAATTTTATTCAATTCTTGTTTGTATCATTTCCTTATAACACTACGGAACAAATTGTCGTGTGCCCCCAGAGCCGAAATACTTCGCTGAGTATTATATACATTATAATATCTGCTACCAGATTCTATTGGGCGAAGCTCTTCACGAATTTGCGTGTGGTTTGTTCTAGAAAAAGTCAACTTGGAAGACCAAGAAAGATAACAGAGGTTAGTATTAATATCGATCTTGTGGATGGAACTAGTTTATTTTCGTGTGGATTCAACGGTGATGAGGTTTTGGTTTCTGGTGTCCACCAAATTATTAGCTACTTGTGAACTTCGTTTCAAGAACGCCTTGCATATCAATATACTTGCGTTACAAAATTCGTTCCCTTTCGACAGTAAATGAATGAATTAAGTCACTTTATGTTCTGTCATCACTTTAAAAGGGAAATCACACTTTTATTAAACGCACTACCTTTAATAGCTTCTGTATTTTGCATGCCACTTAATATACTTCATTAGCGACGGAATTAAAGGATCATAGCAATAAGGACATTTAACTGCATTGAAACGAAGTCATTACCTTTAAGTTTAAAACGCTTATTCCTATAAATAGGAATCGATGAATAGACTCGTGGAAAACTCTCACTTCATTAACAGCTTTTTTTGAAAGTGAAGGCTAAAGTTGGTTTTGTCGAAGTCCATTCTAACAAAACGAGTGCTGCCTCCTCGGTTAAAGCTTCGTCAGATGAATGTCGAAATATTATTAAAATTTGACATGTATGAATGAGGACAAAAAAAGAGTTTTGTGAAGACAGCCATCTTCAGACTCACAGCCGTGAAAACCTCAAATCCTACAACGAGTCTTGTGGTGGAGTGTTTCCTTGGTGTCTCTTCTTCGTAAAGAAAAACACATCTTTTCACTTTGTAAGAATATGACGTAAAGCAACTTGCTTAAATACTGTGCATGCTTGTGATTTATAAATGCGGATTTTGTCTTACCTTCTGCATGCATAAAAGCCAGCAACGTTTTTCATACACCTTCCATTGCTCACTGTGTTCTGTCCACTAAGCTTCATCCCAGTCATTTTATATATAAGAATCGGGAAGTTTTCCAACTCCTGAAATAACCCTCCTGCAGCAAAGCGGTCGTCGCGTGACGTATCGGGAAGTTTCCTGGTAGCTGAACGTAATTACTTTCGTAGACGTACAGAACACAAAATATTAAGGTGATTAAGTTAAAGAACATTAGGCTGAAGAAACATGTAACAAGCGTGGGAAAAAGTAGAAGTCCATACAGCATTTACTCTGAAAATAAATAAATAAATAAACCTGTGACACGTAGGCATGGATGGGAGGATAATTTTAAAAATGTCTTCGAGTAATAGGGCGAAAGGAGGTTTTCACGGCGGTGGGTCTCTGAAGACGGCCGTGTCTTCTGGGTTGTTGCGCCGTTTAGTTTGGTATATGTTTACCGACGTTTCGGAGGTCCTTGCTGCCTCCGTCATCAGGGCGATGAGTAAGCCGCGCCTATGGAAAAGTTATACTGATAGTTATAGCAGACTGACAAACAAGGTTCTTCCTTACTGTGTAGGCCTATCGCATGGAAAATTTGTTTACTGAAATCCACTGACCTTCTGTGATAAAAAAGAGTTTTATTTGAGCGGATAAGAATTGCCCAGCTGATTAAATGCCTTTATCTATATTGGATGAAATACTTCATGTTCTATATCATAAAAGACCCTATCATGGACCAGTTCTACTTAGTAATGTTTTTCTTGTCTAGCCATTTTAATAAGTAGTATTTCTCGTTGTACTCGTAAGGCTGAAAATCGCCTGTTTTCATGAGATATTCGAACGAGTTATTGTATGTAATTTCAGTCTGCAATGTCCTTGCCTCCACGTCTTCATATATTTTATTCTGATAACAATAATATGCGAGGGCAGCTAACAGATAAGCTTCCATGTTATATCTTCTAAGGCCCAAATATGTTCTTATTAAAAATTAATATCTCTAAAACTATGACAACATAGGAAAATTAAGCTCAAAATGCAGTTCACAGAAATAGGGAAGTTTCAATAGGTCTTTGTTGATCTCCGTATTGGTGTCAACGTGTGTTTGAACCATGTCTGCCATTCTTTTCATAGTGGTAGCAGATCCAATTCCCCCCCTGGGATATCAATATTATTCTATGGCGTTTTTTCACAGTGCCCATTAATTTCATGATAAATTATTTCATGGACTGTCACAGATCGAATACCTGTTTAATAGCCGTGTCCTCTGGTCAGATAATTAATAAACATTTGTCGCTCTATTTACTTATTGTTTTTAACGATGCCGTGATTAGTTTAGATTATACAGAGTGTCCCAGGAAATGTCTGCCCTGATGTTGGAGGCAACAAGGACCTCTGAAACGATGATAAACTTCTGCCAGACTACACGGCGTTACAACCCAGAAGACATCCAAAAAGTTTAATTATGATTATGGTTTCCCTTATGATATATTAATACTTTCCAATTGCGTTAAATGTCACAGCACAGACTTCTCGTGTCCTATTCATGCTCTGATGTCCATGCAACCTCCTGCATGATGGATACTTACTTTTCTCTTCCGGAGGTGAAGTTGTCGTGCCTTGAATCTGACCTCTGACTTCCGTCTAGTGACAGGGGTTAAGAATACGTGAAATCTTGCCACTAAGCGTCTGCCCGTACTTTTAAGGGAGTTCGTTGATATATTAGCTTGGATTTCGACGTCTGAATTCAAAAGAACTTACCCTTTCATGCGCCTGTTAATGCAAATTTCAACATTCACTGTAATCAGAAGGAAGCGAGCTTAAAACAATATCAAGTATGAAAGCTTCGTATGGTTAATAGCAATATTTGGGGATATTTACCAGGAAGTAGTCACTGTTTTTTTTTAGGAGTGGATTGAAGCGATTTCAAAGATTTGGTCGAAGTCTCGGTGACTGAGCGGTAGAACAGGTACCTGCAACCTTTCGTGATTCACTCACAGCTCCAGAGGAGTCATCTTTCTGCACTTTTCTATAGTCAGAAGATTATCTAAGTACAGAACAGGATGACTCAAAACTAATGGCGACATTGTCCCCGTCGTCGTACTCAGTGGGAAAGACGCTCCAGAATATTCGACCGCGGCGACGAGGCGCGGAGATCTGCCTGACATAATTATTTGGAGAGAGAGAGAGAGAGAGAGAAGAGAGAGTAATGGCTCTTTCGTGTAGAAGGTAATTTGAAAGTTTTGCTTTTGTCCTCGATGTCTCCTTTGCAGAGTGAGTGAGCGCAAGAAGAATAAATTGTAACAGAAGAGTGGTTCGTGCTAAATGAAAAGTTTGTGACAATTAGTTACTAAGCTTCGTGCTATCTTCACCCCCTCGACTAATGGCTGGTGGATTGTGTGCGCGTTGGATGAAAGTTTAAGTGTCTTGTAGCAAATGTGCCACAATAACACCTCTTCTTGTATCCCGTAGTTTATTTGCTCGAGGCAGGCGTAAGGAGTTAAGACAATGGCTGCTTGTTCAGCTAGCAACTGCGAAGTCCATTAAACCAGCTGTTCCAGCCGTTTATCCACATATCACAGATGATTAAATGCTTCTTACTTCCTGTGACATGGAACGTTTCACACAGAGGCCTAGCAGATTCTGTACACCGTCATAATTATTATTCTTATGATTACTACATTCGCATTTCCTGACTCATGATCTGTGTTTCGCACTGACAGAAAATGTTTAACATTCAATACAACTTAAATTTGGCAATTTAAATTTTCAAGTAAGTTTATAGCGTTAATCAGACACGTGATTTGTAAACTGCTAAAGTGTGGGCGTGGGTTGACATTCCTGTTACAGACTGGTCTCTTGATTATGATGTAAAAATTACTGAATAGTTTTTAAACTTTTTTGAAAAATAAAATACATCGCGATGGCGTAATTGTGTCATGTGATTTTAATGACACCCAAGTTTAAACGCTCCAAATTTGAAACGCAATTCCTGACAAAGAGTTGAATAAAAAATTATACCGGAACATACACGTAACTTGGTATTCTTTGCAAGTTTTCAAGTTAATTATAATCTCACAATGTCTGATTATAATTAAGGAACAAGTGTTTTCTTTGGGTACTCAGATTATAAAGAATGGCTTTTAATGAGTAAAATATCCCTGCCCTAATTGTGCTTTCACTAGTTTGCGATAACGTGAAAAAATTCTGCAATGACAATCAAATTTAGATTTTCTTAAATTTCTTTATGTTTTACAAACGAAGCGAAATCGTGTAGACAGGTCAAAAGACGTTTCATAACAACGTATCACAGGACGCCACCATCCAGACCATCGATGCCTATTCCATTGGCACATGCTGTCAGAGGATCCGCCCAGTGGCCAAGCGCCTTCATTGACGGCGATGGGCATCCAATGCTTCGAGTGGCGTAGACGTGTCCCCTAACGCCAAGCCTGTGTGTCAGGTACCCTTTGCAAAAATTCGTATCGTCTCAGCATGTCGTATTATGGGTGTTACCAATGCATTGAGACTGTTCATCGAGATGTTACGGGATTGTATACTAAATGCACTAATTTTTACGAAATCGTGTTACTACTTGGACGTGGCTTTATGATTCGTTCTGTAATCACGAATTGCTTCCTGATAATTACATCGCTTTCTCTGCAGGCACAGAATATGCCGATTAAAATAATGGTGCTCACCATTGATCGTCAGTTTTTCTAGTTTTAAACGCATGCGTGACCTTGAACTCACTAATGAACGCGTTTGGATTGATATTCCTGTTCTGAGTAGTTCTAATTGACTTGTTTCAACCACTGCATTCCTTCTAATACTGACGTAAAAGTAATTGAAAATTACTTTTAACTCTTTGGAAATTGAACTAAACATTCTACATTTCCGTGTAGGTTTGTTGTGTGAAATTGATGTTTGTGGTAATGACACAGTTAATTGGTTTTCTCGAGGCTAACTTGCGTCAGTCTAATAAAGTTAGACGTGATGTGACTGACAGTGTTGCCTGTTATCTTGGACATTCTCTGTACAACCTTATTATTCAAAAGAAGACTACTTGTTATCGTTTTATTTGGTAACTCTTCTGACGTAAATGTTTGCTTTTAATTCTGATTCAGCTTAGCTAGATGTTTACCATCCTTATTTGGTTATTGATCTCAATGTATGTCTGCCATCCTTTTCGTAATCTCCTGTGCGAATATGTGTTACTTTACAGTACACTTATCTTCTTTTGACTGCTCTTGTGTTCGCGTGATGATCGCTTGAATGATTTGTTATCAAAGTTTTAAAATTAGCTATTCCATATAATCTTTTTATAAAGTATAAATTTCCTCTCTTGTGGTTTAATGCACAAGAAACCCCACAATTTTCGTCCGTATTTAAATGCAATGTCTGATGTACATTATTCTCCTTTTGAATTCTTTTATCTCTGAAAGTATTCACAAATAATTTTAACTTTGATAGGCAACGGAGTTTAAAGTTTGTGTGTGACAGTCTCTAACTCATTTTTGAAAATGTGTTTGTAATTTCTAAAGGAAGTGTGGCATTTGTTCAGCTTAAAACTAATGATCCGAATGTTACAGATGCCTTTGTTAGTTACCGTAAATCTACTTTAATACGCTGTCCGTCCGTCCGTCCTTCACTCATTTTGATATAGTTACTTCAGACTCCTTACCAACTGCTACTGTCTTTTGTGTTGGAGTCAGCAGAGCTACGAGCATTTCAGGCATTCCAAGCGCACTGGAATGGATGGAATGTTTTCATTTGTAATCATTGTTTGTTCTGATACTTTATTCCTTCCTTAACTTGTGTTTTAATGCCAGTGTATCCAGTACGAATTTCTGTTCTTAATACTTTTTTTTTTCTCAAAAACTTTTCAAATTTATTCTGTAACCATTTGTATAATTTTCAGTCTTTCGTAAATTTAATTCCAAGCACAATCTGGTTCTCTATATTTCGATCCAAGTAATGCTTTTGACATCATTGTTCATGATATTGTCCTCTAGATCAGTGGTATTCAACCTGGGGTACGCGTA